GATATCGGAATATAAAGTTATGATAAATACACTGATAGAAGGTGCAGCTGCCTGTTTAAAATAAGAGATTCTGTTACATAATCCGTTAAAACAACAAATTCCGTTAGTTTTTCCGTTAAAAACAAGAAATTCCGTTACATAGCCACTTTTAACATATAGAAGATATAGCACAATCATTTTCAGAATGACGGTATTCAACTTGCATCTATATCATTGACCCTTTAAAATTCCACAAGTACACGATATCATAATCAAGTAGTAAAGTGATGGATAGAGTATCGAACCTACGAGGACTACGTGTTTGATCTAATTAAAGTTAATAATGTCCCTAATCAAATAGGAAAAGTAATTTAAGTTTTTCTATGCTAATTTCTAAGTTATTAACTAAGTGAAAGCAATTAAAATTAGTTTTCAAATATGTGTGAAGTATTGTTAAGATATCGAATCTTCCTTGTTAATCCATTTTTAGTTCAACAATTTAAAATGACAATTTGAAATTATTCTTACTGGTCAATGTTCATATTTTAATTAAAAGTCTCTCTAAATGACGATTAAATATATTTCTACACGCGACTTTCTTATATCTCCATGAAAGTTGCGAACATACAAAAAATATTAAACGTACTAAAACACCTATAAAAACCATGTAAAATATAGCGATTTATTTCTATTTCTTATCGGACTTTAAAATGTTTATTATTTAGTGCTAATAATCCTACTGTTTTTCTCGATAACAACAAAATCCACAAACAATTCAACTAGTGATCAATTAATTGAAAATCATGAAAAATGATAATAAACGTCCACTAATTTAAGCTCAAATTAAAGCTAAACTAATTTATTAAAACAAAGAATATCATAATAAGGATTGATCTCACCTTAGCAATTAAATAACTAGAATAACATATCGAAATTATAAGAAAACATCATAATTTTGTATAACATTACTCGAAATTGTAAATTAATGAATGAACTGAGATGATTCTTGATGTTCTTGAATTTGTCCAAAGCAATCTTGATAAATCTTCAATAATCATGCCCACAAATTCCAAGTTTAATCTCCAATTGATGAGTTCTTGAACTTCACCACTGAATTCTTCTCACAATATATGATTTTGTCCTCTTTTATGATGAAAATCAATGGAATATTGTAGTACAAGATGTATATGAAAGGTGTCTCTAATGTATTCAGGTATTTGTAGGAGTCGAAAACAGGTTGAAAATTACGTCTGAATTGGTTTTCAAAATAATTCCAATCGATTAAAGAAAGTTGCATTCGCGTGAGCATGTTTTTATCTGTACATAGTAGTCAGTAGTTTGGTCATAATTTTCTATCTCAATATCCGATTGATGCGATTCAAAGTGCATTGGAAAGTTAACTCAAAATGGTACAACTTTTCTATAAATGGATTTTTCCAATTCAAACGTTTACTATGCTAAAAATGGGTCTCAATCTTTAACTAAAAATCTGGAATATAACTTGTACCATTGAAAATTGATTTGTGATAATATTTTGATCATATTCAATTCCTTTTTGACTTATAGTTCTATCTAACTGTCTCCTAGAAATCTTCAAATTGTAGTCTTGTGATCCAAATCAACTATTGAAGTTTTACAATTTCTTCCTCAAACTTTGGACTTTGCCCTTTTCGCCATTTTCGCCTTTTTCTTTAAATTTCACTTCCAAACGTCAAATTTTACCTAATAAATAAAATATACAATAGATTAGGCTATATTTTCTTAAGAGAACTACCAAATATCGCTATTTTCATCCCTGAATAAGTGTATAAAACACACTTTATACACTTATTAAACACCCTCAAACTTAAATATTTGTTTCTCATAGAAAAAAATTATAACCTAAATAACAACAAACACACAAGCTTGCAAAAATATAAGACAATCTAGCTTTTACCTTGGGATTTGAAATTATCATATTAAATTTACAAACCGCTTTAAAATCACAATACCAAACCAATATCCATTTTTCCAATCCAAAACCGATGTATATGTGTGTAAATGACTAATTAGACAATCATGAATTTACAAATTGTTTGAATTCCCAACCCTCTATGGTCAAATATATTATTTTACCTCTCTTATGATTCATATATCACCAAACTTATTCTTTTTACTCTTTTTCCAGTGTGCAATCTAAGGTTGAATTTTTTTAATACCGTCATCACCATCTCTAGTTCGGGTAGACTCTACTAATTGCAAGTCACACATCAATAAATAATTATTTTTGAAAACTATGTGTATAATTGGCATCATCCAGTAACTAAACAAAAAGGCTTCATTCGGTACAATCAACACTCTCATGATTCCCTCCACTATGCTTACATTTTGGCCCGCTATCAAACGACATTCATTTTTTTTACCTTCTGAGCTAAGGCTGCTAGCGCGCAGAGATTGCTGTCAATTGATCCACCTCATGTATCCCAATTAATTTATGTACACTTGCTCTTTCTGTTGGCCACAATGCACCGACAAATGCCAAATCCTTCACGATCTGATGGACTTGATCCGTTGTCCTCATCATAATAGATCCATTGCATACGGAGTCAACATTAAACCTTCTTGTCGGATTTAGCCCAATGTAGAAATATTGCACTTGGAGCTATTTCTATAAAACATGTTGTGGACATTGGCGAAGTAGCCCATTTTCCTACGCCTCGTAATAGGATTATGTATCCAACTAAGCGAAAGTAGTGATTCCGTCTCTCCGCTTGGTGATCCTTTTTGGTAGGAAGTATTTATTTATTAACGTGTGGCTTTTACTGTACCAATTGATGATGCTAAGATGTAAGAATGTGTCTAACAACTCCCTAGCTGAGTCTCTTAATGTGTAAGGAAAAAGCCTTAGCTGGATTGCCACGCTTGATACTCTTGGACACTCAATGGTCGAACACATGTCCAGAAACCTTGAAATATGAGCGTTAGGATTTTCAATTGCTCTCCCAAGAAATTATAAGGCATTTTGGAACATGTTGAAGACATTCGTCCTCGAATGAAAGTTAGCCAGACCAAATGTCGGATACATAATGCTTGATTAGCTATCCACAACTAAGGGAACCATGTACTCCCCCATTGACCTTGCATTTTCATTAGCTGCAACCACATTCGGTTGTGCTACTCCCAAATTAGCCTCGATGGCTATTTGATTTGGATCTTCCTCCGGCATGTGTTTTTCTTTCTATTTTTGTTGTGCTTCCAACTGTTCTCTTCTTTGAAACCTAAATGTTCATTCAATCTCCATGTCAAATTGAACAAGATCTTTGGGTCTCGAACTTTGTATACAAAATCCTGAAAAAGAAAGGAAAAAACACTATAGTATTTTTTTAAATAATTAAATCTAACTAATAAGCAGTAAAAATTCAAATTAAAGTTAGAATTAACTAAAACAAATTAAAGATTATAGTATCTGACAACAGCGCTAAAAACTTGACCCTTTGAAATCTCGCAAGTGCAAAATATCGTAATCAAGTAATGAAATGATGAATAGAGTTTTGAACCTACAATGATTACGTGTTTGATCTAATTAAAGTTAAGGATATTTTTAATCGAATAGCAAGAGTAATTTAAGCGTATCTATGCTAATTTCTAAGTTATTAATTAAGTGAAAGCCAGTAAAATTGATTTTCAACTATGAGAGAAGAATTATTAAGATATCGATGCCTCTTATTAATCCATTTCTATTTCAACAATCAATGACAAATTGAAATCATTCTTACTGGTCAATGTTCCTATTTTAATTAAAAGTCTCTCTCGATGACTATTAAATATATTCCTACACGTGACCTTCTTATATCTCTATAAAATATGCGAATATGCAAAAAAGTATTAAACATGTTAAAACATCTATAAAAATCATGTAAGGTATGATGGTATATCTCTATCCCATATCGTACTTTATAAAGTTTATTATTTTGTGCTAATGATCCTATTGTATCTTTCAATAATGACAAAATTCACAAACAATTCAACTAGTTGCCAATTAATTGAAAAACATAAAAAACGATAATAAACATCCAATAATTTAAAAGCAAATTAAAGTCAAACTAATTTATTAAAATAAAAAATATCATAATAATGGTTCATCTCATCCTAACAATTAAATAACTAGCCTAACACATTGAAGTTACAAGAAAACATCATAATTTTGTATAACATCACCTGAAATTGTAAATTAATGAATGAAGGGAGATGAATTTTGATGTTCTTGAATTTCTCTAAAGCAATTTTGATAAATCTTCAATAATCATTTCGTTTCTTTGCCTAAAAATCCAGGTTTAATATTCAATTGATGAGTTCTTGAATTTCGCCTTTAAGATCTTCCCACAATATATAATTTTGTCCCTCTTTTATGATGAAAACTGGTGTAATTGAAAATTGGTTGAAAATTACGTCCAAATTGATTTTAAAAAGAATTACAATCGAATAAAAAAAGTTGATTTCGTGCGGACATGTTTTTGTCTTTGCACATTTGCCAGTATTTTGATCATAACTTTCTTTCCCAATATTCTATTGAGAAAATTTAAAGTGCGTTGGAAATCTAATTCAAAAGGATACAACTTTGAGAGAAATTTAATTTTTTCAATTTAGACGTTTAATATGTTAAAATGAATCTCAATTTTTGATTAAAAATTTGGAATATAACTTGTGCAATTGGAAATTGATTTGCGATCATATTTCATTCATTTTTTTTTCTAATTACATCAAATTGTCTCTTAGGCCCTGTTTGACAGCCATTGTTTTCCTTGGAAAATGGAAAATAATTTCTTTTTCTACCCATTTTGACTTGTTTGATGGCTTCTTTTTCAGGCAAAATCTTTTCTAACCTCTTACCTCACGCGCCCAAGTTCCTTGATTTTGGGGAAATTCTTTTCCCACCTTTTAGGTGGGAAATCCTTTTCCATCTGTGTTGTTTTTTTTTTTTTTCCTTTTTTTTTTGTCAATGGAAATAAATTTCATAACCAATTGTAAAAAAAAAATTCACTTTAATGGACAATTTTCATGTAAAACAAAGTCAAACGAACACTAAACTTTGATTAAAAAAATGATTTTTTAGGTAAAAAATTATTTTTTTTATTTTTTTTTTACTTTTTGACAATGGAAACAAATTTTATAACCAATGGTAGAAAAAATTATCACTTTAGTGAAAAATTTTCATAAAAAACGAAGCTAAACGGACACAAAATTTAAAAATTTTTCGGGTAGAAAATTATACCAATCAAACACACATAATTAACAATTCCCTGGAAAACAATTTCTAGGAAAATACATTCCCTGTAAAACATTTTCTTTCCACCCATTTTCCACCCTTCCTATCAAACGGACCCTTAGCAATTTTCAAATTATAATTTTGTAATCCAAATCAACTAATGAATATTTACAATTTAGTCCTCAACTTTGGACTTAGCCGTTTTTCACTGTTTTCGCTTCTTTTCTTTCAATTCCATTTTCAATCATCGAATTATACATAATAAACGAAATATACAATAGATTAACTATATTTGCTCAAATGAATTACCAAATACAACTATTTTGAGTCCTGAATAAGCGTGTAAAATACACTTATTAATCATTCATCAATCAAGTTTATTGGTTTATTTTTAGAACGACGTTCAACGAGCACATTTTCTTCAATCATCCTTTGTTTAAGAAAGAAATTTCTTTTACTCGATAAAATATCCAATCAAAAAGGGAAAGACGAAAGACAGAAACAAAATATCTACTATTTCAATTCAACTCAGAAACCACCCTCGCCCTGGTTTTGCGAAACGAAGCCCGTTGTTTCTCCCCAATCCCTACGTCGCGTCCTACTTTTCCAATCTACGACTCATTCTACGGGCCCACAAAACTCTATTAATGGCCAAGTTACTCAACTGTCTGGGACATTATCCCACAAAAATTACAAAGGGAAAAAAATTAAAAATATCTCATCCTTATCCAATGACATATTGAAACTCATCGTCTCTTTATATAAATAAAAAAACTCAACGATCAAGTGCATTAGCATTATTCTTATCTGACGTTCAATTATTGCAGAAACAAAAAGATGATTCAAACTGTGCGTTTCAATTCTTCATCATCTTTAAGCAGTTTTCTTGTTAATTGGTCAAGGTCGAGTTCAAGTTCATGTTCAACAACCATTCGTTGTTCTTCAAGAAACAATGCCTATATACCGAAGCTGGAGCCATTCAGCAGAAGCAAAATTGATAGAGCTGTTAAAGAACCCCCTTTGATTCAGAAATCAGAAACCCAACTCGCAGGCAAGTTTCTTGGACCCTTTTGAATGAACGACGTCTTATAACAGTATTTAAATCCCAGTCTTTTGGCTGTAACAGTTAACTATGTGATCGACTGAATTTTCCGTTGTGTGATGGATGTTTAGATTATTGTTCAACGCTTGAAGGGGATGATTCTTATAGCTGCTGGAGGGCATATTTTGAGCTCAAACAACTTGAAGTAAGTTCTAAATTTGACGAGATGAATAGAAACTTTTCGACATACTTCCAAGAAAAGTACTTTTAAGTCATATTCATGGCGTGTTATTTGAGATGAATTCTATAGGGATGTTTTGTTGGGCTTAAAGTTAGTCTTTTTTCTTTCAAAAAGTATCTCTATAATTCAAAGATAAGTAATTTTTAAGTTACTTCTATTGAAAATAATTTAAAATTTCGTTTATAGTAGCGTGTAATCACTCATAGCATAAATTTCTTGGATTATGCGATGAATTCACCTTTATTAAATATTTTAAGATAGTGACACAAAACTTATTGGATTAAAAAACTAAAGTGTTTTGGCTATTATGGTATTCAACAGGAAGAGGCCCCAAAGGAGGAGATAGAGAGACTAATTATTGAAGCTGGTGGTGTAAAATCTCTAGTTGGATGTGTACATGGAGTTGCAGCAATTCACAAAGCAAAGAAGGAATGCAAGGAGTCGATGAAACAATCGACTGCCCAGAATACAGACACGGTGCCTTGTCCGATCCCGGATGGTTTGCCCAAGACATTAGACGAGCTGGAGGAAGAGGAGAAAGCTAGAATGCCGGATTCGCCATTCACGAGATTGCTTAGAGCCAGAGGACGATCCCCAGCTTGGTATTCACCGGTGCCTGATCACGAGACAGATTGATGATGATTATCGACTTATCGTGATTCATCATCCTTTGTGAAATGTACCTAGTAGTTGTTTTGACAATTTGTGACCTTCTCAACATGTAAAGAGAGTTTTTGCATCGAAGTTTGTCATGTTTGTAGTGTAATATGACACGAGATATGTTAATATTGTGTGTATAAAAGGTGTGGCTTATTGGATAAATTGTGTCTGTTTTAGCAATGAGTACCATTTACATCTTTAAATGCTTATTCCGGTTTGTGGTGAAGCACTTTGGAGACTAATTTAGACAGTCATTTGTGACTCGGTGCTAACTAGATTCAGAGTTACTTTTTCACAAGTACTTAATTTTTAAGTTGATTCGACTTTATCTATAGTCAACGACGATTCAGAACATGATCGCTATCGTCTGTGTTATACGCATGATCGTTTTGATCTGCTGTCCCGGCAATAAATTGGAGAATCCCAACTCTTCCACCAATGCAACTGAACTAATCCCACCAACCCTCAAACAAACCACATCTGGTACTGTAATTTTGCAAAGGAGGAAGAAAAAATATTCACAACAAAAATTGTATTGACAAAAATGCAGCAGCACAGATGATCTAAAGCAAGAATAGTATATATATGCTGGATCCTAACTATTATTATTCGTAAGTTCAAATACTTGTCAAAATATAATTTACACTTGCCAATATCATGTTTGGATGGTGATTAATGTAAGCCTATTTTTAGCATTTTCCCATGTTGTTCCATGGAGAAAAACTTGCCTAAATCCAAGCAGAGACCCCCAAATTTGTGTCTGAAATTCGTTAGAGCCCTCCAAATCCGCAGAAGTTTGGTTGGTTTCTCCATATAACACCATCATTTCTTCCTGCAGATGATAACTATAAGCAGCCTTGGGTTTGTCCAAGGGGGTTAATCATGGCTAACCCTTCAAAAATGAAAGCCTTTGGGTGCTTTCTTGTCTTTTTTCTTTCATTTTTCTCATCCTTTTCTTCGGCTTTAACCGATGCTGAGGCAGCTTATATAGCACGTCGTCAGCTTTTGCAACACCCACATGATGATAGCCTTCCTAATGACTTCGAATTAGAGATTGATGCTAGTTTAACATTCGCCAATCCAAGGCTCAAGAAAGCCTACATTGCCCTTCAAGCGTTCAAGAAAGCTATTTATTCAGATCCACTGAACTTTACTGCTAATTGGGGGGGTTCTAATGTGTGCACCTACAATGGTGTGTTCTGTGCGCAAGCGCTCGACGATCCTAAACAGACTGTCGTCGCTGGGGTCGACTTGAACCACGCGGACATTGCAGGACACCTACCTGTTGAGATTGGTCACTTGGTGGACATTAGTCTTCTCCACCTTAATTCCAATAGGTTTTGTGGGATCATTCCGAAAAGCATTGCAAAGCTGACCCTTCTCTTTGAACTCGATGTTAGCAACAATCGCTTTGTTGGACCTTTCCCTGAGGTTGTCTTGGAGTTACCATCTCTGAAATACCTTGATCTTAGGTACAATGATTTCGAAGGACCATTGCCTCCCCAACTCTTCAATAAGCCACTTGACGCACTTTTCTTGAATGACAACCGGTTCCACTCAATCATCCCTGAAAATTTAGGAAATTCCACTGTTTCAGTGCTGGTTTTGTCAAACAACAAAATCCATGGTTGTATTCCGAAGAGCATTGGCAAAATGGCAAACACACTGGATGAAATCCTTTTGTCAAACAATGTACTCTCAGGTTGTTTGCCTGAAGAAATAACACTCTTGAAGAGCGCCACAGTTTTCGACATTAGCAATAACAAGTTCGTTGGAGACCTACCCGTAGGCCTCGAATACTTGCAGAGTGTGGAAGCTTTTGATGCTGGACACAACGAGTTGAGAGGAAAGGTCCCGGAAAGTCTTTGCAGCCTACCAAGCTTGCAAAATCTCACATTTTCGAACAACTTTTTTGAGGCTAGAGATGACGTTTGTGAACCTCAAGCAATTCAAGGCCTTGTGGTAGATGATACAAACAATTGTTTTGGGAATTTGCCACACCAAAGATCGGCTAAGGTTTGTTGGTCTGCATTGAGGAAGCCAATAGATTGCACCAAAGCAGGATGTAGGAGTTCGCCACCAGAATCTGGTCCAAAGGACCCGCCCAAACATACTCCGATAAAACCAAACCCAAAGCCAGTATCTCCACCACGACAAAAGCTGACGCCACCAACTAAGGCTGTGCCGGTTCCATCCCATTCGTTACCAAATCCGACACCAAAACCATCTCCCAATCCTGTGAAACCTCCATCAACCCGGTCGACACCAAAACCGCAACCACCAAAGCTTAAACCAGCTCCAACTCCATTAGTTCCTACACCAACGCCAAAGGCTAACCCACCGAAGGTTTCCCCCTCATCACCACCTACTCCGAGTGCTAAATCAAAACCGCCACCAGTATCGGTTCCTACCACACCAATCCCTCCACGGGTGAAGACTCCACAACCACCAAACACTTTGGTTCCACCTCCAACTGTCAAAACACCAGTCTCATCACCTCCACCAGCAGTTGCTTCACCCCTTCCTCCAATTCATTTACTACCACCACCGGTCTACTCACCCCCGCCACCAGTTTTCACTCCACCACCACCCGTGAGCTCACCTCCACCTCCACCTCCACCTCCACCTCCATCTCCATATCTAGTTTTCTCCCCACCACCACCTGTCCAATCACCTCCTCCACCCATAAGCTCGCCACCGCCTCCAGTATTCTCGCCACCACCACCCGTGCAGTCACCTCCGCCACCTCCAATATTCTCTCCACCACCACCCATCCACTCACCGCCCCCACCACCTAAGAGCTCACCACCACCGCCTGTCCAATCACCTCCCCCACCACCCAAGAGCTCACCACCACCTCCAGTATTCTCCCCACCACCACCGGTCCAGTCACCTCCTCCACCACCCAAGAGCTCACCACCACCTCTAGTATTCTCCCCACCACCACCGATCCAGTCACCTCTTCCACCACCACCTCCACTTTTCTTCCCAGTCCAGTCACCTCCCCCCACACCAAAGAGCTCACCACCCCCTCCAGTTTTCTCCCCACCACCGCGTGTACAGTCACCTCCCCCACCACCCAAGAGCTCACCACCACCTCCAATTGTCTCTCCAGCACCGCTTGTACAATCACCTCCTCCTCCACCACCAGTATCATCTCCTCCTCCACCCGCTTCATCACAATCACCACCTCCGACGGATGACTTCATCCTCCCTCCAACCTTGGGCTTCCAATATGCATCACCACCGCCGCCATTTTTCCCGGGTTACTAAGGAGTATATCATTATCGTTTTTGTATTTTTTGTTACCAGCATCAATCTTAAAAACTACTAAAACAACATACTATGTTAAGATTGTGCGTTAAATATACAAACCCAATCTGTAAAGTTTGTATTGCAACTCACATCAACAAAAAAAAATCATTACCATTCTGATTTCGGATTGTTCTACTAGGAAATTATTGCTGCATTCAATAAATAAATATCTATTGCTAAATTTTATTTTATTCCATATTTCAATCAAATATTTTTTATAATTTTTTATAAATTTCGTGAGATCCTCCTCTATTACTAATCTTACCATTGCACTTTATTTGCCAAGAGGTTTAAGAAAATTTAAGAGGATACGGAAATTGAATTAAAAAATAAATTTTAGGGATTAGTTTGTAATAAAATAAAAGTAAGTGGCGAGTATAGAATTTTGAATGAATAATGATGACTTTCAAGTATAGAACGAAATGACGTCGTTTTGACTTTTGATGCAATTGCCTGCCGATCATCGGTATTTCATTTTGGTTTCAACTAAACAGAAAATAACAACAAAATAAAAAAAGCTCAAAGCCTCAAACAGTTCCCATTGGTATTTGAAATTTTGAACTCTCCAAAATTTGTTGGCATCAAATATTTTTCTGTAATTTATCAAAAGTAATAGAAATATTTCCCTGTGTTTGTTGCCGGAATTTGAATGGCGGAGAAATCTAACGAAGAAATGAAGCCTGAAATGGAAGCAGCAGCTACTGCCGTAGAACAACCGAAAGAAAGCGGTGGCGGCGGAGGATGGGGCGGTTGGGGTTTTTCTCCATTATCTTATCTCTCAGATCTTCAGAAGGCAGCTACTGTTGCTGCCGAAGAGATCTCTCGCAATGTATCTCCCTCTCTCAGACAAATATCTACTTTTCTCATTGCTATAGATATATAGTTATATCGTATGAGTATGATATTGGTTATTATTTCTGTGCGCTTATTTATGCATCATGATGTGGATTTGTGGTTGCTCCTAAAGTCTAGGAACCTGATGAAATATCAATTAGTTTTGGAAAATTGTCAGGGAAATGAAAATATGAAACCATAGTGTATTGTGGAATCGGCTGAGATAAACACTGACAGTTTTTATTTGCAAATTTTTTTGGGAGCTAAAGAGACAGCTAGATCCAGTAGATAATGTGGTATTTAAGTTCGAAGCTCTAACATTCTTGAAAATTTACTGCACCTGATTTCAGTATGTGAGCTATATCAATTTAATTCTAAAATTGGATAAACCTGGGGAGTTATGAGTCACTGAGCTATTTTTTTAATCATCCATCTTTGGTTGTATTTTATTATAATTATTATTATTTTTTTTTTCTCATAAATGCAAAAAGTAAAAACAATTTTATGTAGCTGGAGAGCACTGGGTGTTGCATATATGCTGTCTATTTGAGTGTATGTAGGATTGTTGAAGTTGATTTCCTTTATTTATTCACTCTGAAGTTTGGCCCAAAAATGCGCATGTTCTAATGGCTCTCACCAATGTCTTAAAAATTTTCCTTTCTCGTTTATTCTGTCTTACCCCTATCTCAATTTATTGGAAAAGATACTATTTCGTTGGGATTGCTTTATTATCATAGCTCAGATTGCATCAACCAATCAAAGCTCCTTTTTTTTTTTTGCCACATTGTGAAGCCAAATTACTCTCTGATCCACGAGAAAATCATTTTATACAGAAGTAAGGTTTAGTTCTAGCAATACAATTATGACATTTTCTTCTGACTTCTGAGGTTTTGTTGCTATTATAAAATAATTATATACGATCATATTCTAATAGCTTTTTTAGGTGACTCTGGTTTCACCTTGTTTGAGAAACATCCAGACCTGCCCTTTAAAAATTGACGCTCTAGAGTCTAGACATAAATATTAGAAATAAATTGCTGCTTGAGCTGGTTCTGAAACATTCCTTGAATAAAAGGGGGATTTAGGGTTGGATAACAAAGCTATTATAATGGCCGCCACCTTGAATGGTTATTGAAAATGTGACTTTAAAATTAAAATGCTTTTCTTTCCCTCTCCCTACTAACAGATATTGAATCCATAAACTGCTACTGGATTTCTTTGTGTATGATTCTTGATAGTTGAATGCATTTGATTATTTGCAGAATTTGTAATTGTTTGAGATCTGCTCTTACAAATACAGGCTGTTGAAGCTGCTAAGACAGCAGCAAAGAGCGTTACAGATATACAAATGCCGGATAAAGAGTCTGAATTTTCGAAGGAGGACGAAACAGAAGCATCTGCAATTGAAAAGGAAAAGGAAAATGAAGATGATAATGACAAGCGTCGTAAGGTGGCTTTGGATAAACTGGAAAAAGCCAGTGAAGATTCACTCCTTGGCCAGGCAAGTCCTAACAGTGTGATAGTGTGAAATATGTCATTTACACGTTTGATCCATAAGTATTACTTCACTTCTATTCAGCAGGTATCTTTCTTCCCAATCCATAGCATTTCCATGATATTTGTAGCTACTTGTTTCATAGACTGTTGCAAGAATGGGGAAGAAAATTTTCATGTCATGCTTTAAATTGATGCATCCGCTCTATCTCCATCTTGAATGAATTTGGTGCAACAACAGGATTTGGATTTTGGGTGAAGAAGAAAAACTAATGAATTATGATATAATTTATTGAATATGTAGAATTGTTTGATTATAAAACATGCATGCTTGTCTTTTTATAGAGAAATTGGCATAGGAAATGTAATCTCCTAATAGACTTCTAACAATCTACTAATCATCTCCTATTAGTGATATACTATGATACTAATAAAATATTCCTAGCAGAACTTAAATCCGACTAATAAGAAAACTAATACAATAGAGTTGCGTAATGAACTTGAGACGTCCAACTTGCATGATTTATTCAAGATCTAGTCATTAATTGCTGATTTGTTTCATTGCATGCAGGGGTTGAAGGTTTTCGATAATTCCGTGGAATCTTTTACCTCTGGAGCTTGGCAAGCAATAGGAAGTGCATGGAAAGAGGGTGCCACTTTAGTCCACAAGTAAGTTGAATATTGAATCATTTTTCAATGTAGTACAACCACATATTGTGCACACCTAGAAATTAAAAGACAGTAATATAATGGTCATATCAACATTGGAAGTTGGACAGATATATTTCGTGGAGCTTGCTAATTGAAAGATATTATAATTAAAAACCCATGCAATATTATTTTTCATACTTATCATTTGATACTTGTTATATTCATAATGTTCCTTTTTAAGCATTGGTTAATAAAATTAAAATTGAAACAATCTTGGCTTTGGTTTAGAAGTGTCTCAGTTATTATTTACTAAAACTTCCCTAACTGTTTAGAAGTCTTCTTGCTACTCTACTACTCTGAAAATCGTGTGTGGAAAATATTACAGTGTTCAATATACTTAAGAGTTATGAGTTTAATATTGGGATGAATGATACAAGTAACTTGTAATGCTTGATAAATAGATTGTGCGTGGAAAATCAACTGTCTCACCATGAATGATCCTAGACAGTAATTTTGTCGTGAGGCCTGAACAAAAAAATAAAAAAATAAAAAATCCAGCTGCATGTGTTGATTTTCATTTTCACATTGTTCAAAACAATTCTTTGCCGTGTTCTTGTATATAGGCAATTTCAAACTCTGCGACCTCAGTGCTGGGATGCTTTTTCAGGAGATTGCTTATTAGTTAGAAATGGTTTATCACTAGTTTCTGCATTGTATTTATGTGTGCTATGTACGTTTTCCTTTTGACTTTCCTTAGATCCCAAGATAGTTCCCTTGGCACACTTTTAAGTTTATCCAAGTCTGTGGTACACAAGGATGCTTTTGAAACCATTTACCTGAGGTGCCCTGTGGAATTTCACTCTCCATGTCACAGCTAAAATCATACTGAAGTAATATGCCTGGTCAAGTTGAATTTTTCTGTGTAAAATTTTTGGTGCTTTAAAGATGTCTCTTAATTTATTTAGGCTTGAGAACTCGGCTTCAAATTTTTCGGAATCCATTCAAAATGGTGGTCAACCTGGGGCAGATGGCTCTGTAGTTCCTTCTTTAATAGAGGTTTGCTCCTGTGAGTTTTTTTCTTTTTACTCTTTTCCTGAGTTTGAGAACCATCCCTTAGTCTTGCACATGCCTACCAGACCGGAAAAGCTTTTACAGCCAAGGGACTGCAAGTTCTCGAGGTAGTTGGCAAAGAAACAATGGATCTTTTGATTATAGAAACTGGTCTTGAAGTTGAGAAAAATAAGAAGGAATTTGAGGGGGAAATGGAGAAGGATCAATTGTTTGAAGATGTTACATTCGAACGGTGCTTTTATATCTATGGAGGTCCAGAGCAGTTGGAGGTGACTTCCATATTTTCTAAATATCCATCTGTTAATATACTTAGGGCCGTTTGGCATGGCTTTTGAAAAGCCAAAAGGAGATTTTGATACTCAAAAGCTACTGTTGGACCGTTTGACTAATTTTATGAAAATTTTTTGGTAGTTAGTCCAATGGGCATCTTCTAAAAAAATTTCCGGAATAGGAAGTGCTCTTAAAAATTAGTTTTCAAACAAAAATTAAGATAGTTTTCTCTATAAGTTCTTATACAGGAAGGAAAAGCATAAGTAAAACTCATGCCAAATGGGCCCTTAGTCTTGGATTTGATTGCTCAAACCTTAATTTCACGATGACTTGCAGGAGTTGGAAGCATTGTCTAACCATTATGTACTGATATATAACAGAAGAAAGGCTAAACTCTCATCTGAACTAAAATCTATATGTGATGGAAAGCTCAAAGAGGTCCAAGACATTTTTGACTTGGGTGCTGAGCTTGATGGAAGTGGCACGGAGTTGGAGAAAGGGAAGATGGTGGAGGCTGGAACCGATTACAGTATTGATGAAATGAAGAACTTCCATGATTCAAGCATTCGCAAGGCTGCTGACCTGGTTGCAGGGTAATTTTGCTTGGAATACTCTTCGTTTTATTGGATCTATTTACTTTTATGTCATCTCATCTTTCGAATGTCAAGTGGGCACATGTGCCTGACATTGTGTTTAAGTGTTCTCTCATTACACTTCAATACCAGTTGCATTTTGTATATTGTATCTGATTATCAACATAAAAAAAAAGGAGAAGAAGCCGACGACAAAATGGTTTCATTTCATCGGTTTGAAATGCACCTGAGTATCTCGACTCTAGCACGAGTAACAGTACACTTAAATGAACTCTCAATATTTTGCAAATATAAATTGCAATTTATTGGTCCTGCTGTCTTTTTGGTTTTTCATGCCATTATTGATTACTGTATAGTATGAGATCATTTATGTCTAGACTCGTACTTTTGGGACCATCCATATTGATTAATACTCAAGCGTATGTACGTGTATCATGCTTGTGTGATGTTTAATTAATTTTGTCCCTTGTGTAGCTGCATAATGTGGAGCTAAAAGTCATCTGATCTGTTGCAGTTTTACAAATGCTTTGGCTGGACTAGCTCCAAATGACATAATTCAAAGAACTGTTGGGAGACTTGATTCTCTTCAATCAGAGGGTGTCCATGTATGCAGATTGTTTTTGGATTTTAATTACTACTGAATCCTTGTCATTTATTATCTATTGCAGATTGTTCTGCAATAGATGTATAATTTATCTGAAACCTTTGGCTGTCTGCACAGAGACTTTCAGAAATGTGCTGCTTTGCAATGACTCAACTTCTGGTGCTTGGGAAATCCATGATATCTAATGCTAACAAAATTCAGGACGAAGAGATTGATGAGGAAACTGTGAAGATTGATTGGCCTGAGGATTCTGTTGAAAAAGCTAAGATAATCAGAAGGAAGGTGCAATCAATGACCGTTAATGTGGAAACAGTTTCAAACAGTTTTATTACAGGTAAGCTTGGCTAGGATTTCTCTCTGTTAAGTTTTATAGATGGAGATGGTGCTTTTTGTTAATGCGAAATGTTCCATCTGAGAGGTCATATAGCCTCAGTGGTAACCACATGTTTTGTAAGCGTTTCAACTTGTTTTGAGTGTATGCCATCTCCTTGGGCTGGCATGTGGGAAACAATCCTTTTATTTCCTGGTCCTTGGGTGGGTCGGGGTGGGGGATAGTTTCTGTGAAAGTAGTTTTAAATTATCATCTTCCACTGGGTACATTTTTGGTGGGAGACTGATTAATTACAACATTCCAAGTTGAAACAATATCGATTAACTGATGATTTTGGGGTCTTTTAAGAATACTCAGTTTTAACAGGTCAGTATCGAGATAAATTAACTTGGTCTTATCAATCTTGGCTGTTTGAACTCGCCTTTCAGTATTGCTCTTAAGCCCGGCAGAAATAGTTCACCTGCTCAGCGTACAATCACTATAATTCTTTTTCCAGCAATGAAAAATGTATTTATATTATATGAATCTCCTCAGGAATATCAGATGTAGCTGACACATATGTAGCTGCAATTAAAAGTGCTACTGCTGATTCACAACTACTCCCGGATAAATCGGTTGAGAAGAAAGCTGATATTTATATTGAAAGTCTCCGCACAGGTCAACGTTCTGCGGTCGGGAAAATTCAGGATGGGCTGCGATATTTGTCTTACGTAGCTCTCTCTACCTCAATGCCTGCTGCTTGAGAGTTGAAAATATCTGTATGTAAATATTAGTAGCATCATTTGGTTTCCACATTAGACTTTTCTTTCTGGGACTGATTTTATACCGTTTCAAAAACATGAAAGGAAAACTATGTTCATTGAAATTGACTGTTCACTCTTTCCCTCTGTTTTTGTGAAGGGAAGAACATAGATCCTATACCTCTTTGATGAAACCTATCTTCATTTCCATAAATATCTGGCAGTGGTTTTTTTTTGGGGGGTGGGAATTATATGTAATTGAGTTTAAAGGAAGTGTTTGGTTTCTTAAGAGTTACTCTTAAAAGCAGCCAGAGGAAGGAGACTCACAATCTCAACGTGACATTTAGGAGCATGTCTGGAAAGTGATAAAATTATAATCTAAGACGGTCGAACATATTTTGTAGGAAACGCAATTATTATTAACTTATTATTCACACATTATGAAAAACTTCTAATCACAACCAAGTACTAAATACATAAGATTTGAAAGGTCAAGAGTTTAACTCTCTTGCATTTCAGTAACACATTATGAACAACTTCTAATCACTCACCAAGTACTAAATCCATAAGATTTGAAAGGTCAAGAGTTTAACTCTCTTGCCTTTCAGTAAGCGTGGTTTATGGTTTTCAACCTCTCAAAATGAAGTCTTCACTTGAAAGTTAAAATTAAGAATAATATTATTTAGCACTAATGGCCCTACAACACTAGTCTAGGTGTCATGCAAATGATTAAATATCTTAAATATGATTTATTTTTCACTTTAATGGTAATCCATCAAATAATGATACTTACATGTCATTTAAACTGGGACTTAACACTAGTGGTGTTAAATAATATTACTCTAAAATTAAGCGTGACTTAAAGTTTCATACATAATTATTAAATTAGTTAACATCCAACTTTAAGTAATGTAAAAGTTGTAATTTCAATCATGATATAAGTACATATATTTTTTATATGAAATTTTTACAGACACACTTGGCATGACAATATTGTAAGATGGGAAAACAAAAAAAAAAAAATAAAAAAACAATAGGCCATACATGTGTTGACCACATCAGCTTCTGTATCAATATCAGTGTTCTAAAAAGCGTAAAGCGTGGTTAGGCGTGGAGGCCAAGCTTCAAGCTTTACGAGCCTAGGCGAGCCTAGGCGAAGATTAGGCGTAAAAAAGGTTTTTTTTTTTTAAATTTTTAATCATTGTAAAACACATTATGAACAACTTCTAATCACAACCAAGTACTAAATCCATAAGATTTGAAAGGTCAAGAGTTTAACTCTCTTGCCTTTCAGTAAGCGTGGTTTATGGTTTTCAACCTCTCAAAATGTAGTCTTCACTTGAAAGTTAAAATTAAGAATAATATTATTTAGCACTAATGGTCCTACAACACTAGTCTAGGTGTCATGCAAATTATTAAATATCTTAAATATGATTTATTTTTCACTTTAAAGGTAATCCATCAAATAATGATACTTACATGTCATTTAAATTGGGACTTAACACTAGTGGTGTTAAATAACATTACTCTAAAATTAAGCGTGACTTAAAGTTTCATACATAATTTTTAAATTACTTAACATCCAACTTTAAGTAATGTAAAAGTTGTAATCTCAATCATGCTATAGGTACAGATATTTTTGACATGAAATTTTGACAGACATACTTGACATGACATGACAGTATTGGAAGATGGGAAAACAAAAAAAATAAAAAAACAATAGGCCATACATGTGTTGACTACATCAGCTTCTGTATCAATATACAATATTGACAGGTGCATGGGTCGATTCAATCTTTAGTTTTTGTAAGACGATTTGGGTCTAATCGAATCATGTATTAGATGGGTTGAGTCCAACCTGCAATGGACGTAATTATAGAGGGATTGTTCCAACCTCGGCGACCCATTTTGATCATTCCTATTCTCATCATCTAAAAATTCAGATCCACGTATTTAAATAGGTAGGGATGTATTAATTTTAAAGGTTGGAAGCACAATCTTAATTTTTTTCCATTTGAGAGTTTAGTTGTAAGTTTTAAAATAACACATTTTTAGTCAATGTTCAAAAGTCGAGTCTTGACTTGACAATAAGTTACTCGAACAATTTCCTACATACAATTGTTCATAGGCACTATACAGGTGTTGCCAACTCAACACATGTATGGTTGGTAGCACTAGTATGGTGTAGACATGTCAAAGTGGTTCGATCTGAGTTGTATAACTTCACTACTTCATAATAATCTTAATTACTGTGGGTTATATTTAAAAAGGGAGGAAAAATTGGGCCTCCAAGGTGAAAGCGCGCTAGCCACATAGGGCCCCTAGGCGCGCCTAGGCACGCTTTAAGCGGTCAACGAGTGGTTAACATTGTCGTTGACCGCTTAATTACCGCTTAACCTCAAAGCGAGACGTTTTCATCAAGCTTCGAGCCTAGGCGCCGCCTAGGCGAGCTTTTTAGGACAGAGATCAATATATAATATTGACAGGTGCATGGGTCGATTCAATCTTTAGTTTTGTAAGACGATTTGGGTCTAATCGAATCCTGTATTATTAGATGGGTTGAGTCCAACCTGCAATGGACGTAATTATAGAGGGATTGTTCCAACCTCAGCGACCCATTTTGATCATTCCTATTCTTATCATCTAAAAATTCAGATTCACGTATTTAAATAGGTAGGGATGTATTAATTTTAAAGGTTGGAAGCACAATCTTATTTTTTTTCCATTGAGAGTTTAGTTGTAAGTTTTAAAATAACACATTTTTAGTCAATGTTGAAAAGTCGAGTCTTGACTTGACAATAAGTTACTTGAACAATTTCTTACATACAATTGTTCATAGGCACCATACAGGTGTTGCCAACTCAGCGCATGTATGGTTGGTAGCACTAGTATGGTGTAGACATGTCAAAGTGGTTCGTCGGCTTGGATGACCCGTGGCTCGGCCCGGAAAAAGCCCAAGCTTGCCCATGTCACGGGCCATTTTTGTCTCAGACAAGCCGAATTTTAAAAAAAAATAGCTGTTTGCCGCAGGCAGTAATCTGTCGCTTGCAAACGCAGGCAACTACTTGCAAATGTATATTATATTTAAAAAAAAAAAAAGGAACGAGTCGGCTCGGTTCGGGCCCAGTTCGACTCGCTAAGGCCCGAGCTGAAAGCTCGGGTAGATCGAGCATAAATATTTTTTGTTGAGCAATTGGGCCAAAAAAGTTTGAACCATTTCGGCTCATTGATACCCCTAGTATGGTGTATTTTATGTATTTGTTTTGGCAAAAATCAAATCAAAAAATGAGAATAGTTATACCTGTAAAAATTCTATCAGCATCCCCTATTCGTGTAGCATCACTCAAGCTACTTAGATAATAATAGTTTTTATGAAGAATGTGTAATTGGCAAGTAAAAAATAAATAAATTACGTGTAAAATAATTTTATGAAGGCAATGCGAAATTTTAAAAAAAAAATTATAAAATGGAGCTCAAATAACAACTTAATCATTAGCTGCATTGGGAATAAACAAGTCCAGGTTCAATGTATACACACGTATACATATGCATACATATATCCAAGAAAGGGTGATGAGGTGATAATTTGTTCTGAGCAGAATGGGAGACATTGATGAAGCCTTCATCCAATCAGTTGAACACAGACCAAAATCCACCACAGTTGAGGCTCAAAGCATCCCTGTAATCAATCTTTCTGCACTAAACTCTCAGCATTGCTCATCCAATTCCAGTAGTTCAATGGAAGATCTTATTGTACAAGTAGGTGAAGCCTGCAAAAAGTGGGGTTTCTTCCAGGTGATTAAAACCGAGGGTCTCGTGTATTCATTTGAATCTCAACAATTAATTTTGGTTAAACGTCACTATTTTATAAACGGGTGGCGGCAAAACTTCAATTAATCTTGTGTGAGCCCAGATACCATGTTAACCATGTCATCCAAAAATGTTGAGAAGGGTCACATGTATTCATTTAAATCTTATCTTTTGACGCAGGTGATTAATCATGGGGTTCCATCAAGCTGCAGGGAAAAGGTTGAGGTTGCTTCGAGGGCCTTTTTCCGGCAGCCATCGGAGGAGAAAAGGAAGGTGAGAAGAGACGAGGCTAATCCAATGGGGTTTTATGATACTGAGCATACGAAAAATATTAGGGATTGGAAACAGGTTTTTGATTTCACGGTGGAGAATCCGACTGTGGTTCCAGCTTCTCATGAGCCTGATGATGTTGAGTTGCAGGAGATTGTCAATCAATGGCCTGAGTATCCTCCTAATTTTAGGTAAATGACATTTTAACATTGTAGTTAATTTTTTGATGATGAACTGAATAATTTTCTGTTTTATCCCAGTATCATATTTGGATAAAGGAGGAGGATCACAGTAGGTGGAGGATATAACTTCTTTGCATATACGACGAAGAATGAAAAATTTAACAATATTCCATGTATACGCTAAAATCTTATGCATTGTCACGTCCAATACTGCATATCAAACAATCGTATAGTTTATTCAAGAATGATGTTTTTTTCATTCTGCATATTAAGACCTTCTGAGCAGAGCATATCGATGAAATTTATTCTATACCAATGGCAAGATTTGGCTCAAATATGAGTAAGGGATTTTTTTCAACTCTTGACCAGGGAGGCCTGTGAAGAATACACCAGAGAAATCGTAAAACTAGCTTACAAGTTGCTGGAGTTAATATCCTTGAGCCTCGGGTTGCCAGCAGAAAAGTTTAATGGCTTCTTCAAAAACCAAACAAGTTTTATGCGACTCAACTACTATCCGGTATGCCCTGTTCCTCACCTAGCCCTCGGCGTGGGTCGACACAAGGATTCTGGGGCTTTAACTGTCCTTTCTCAAGATGATGTTGGGGGACTAGAAGTGAAGAGGAAATCAGATGGAGAGTGGGTTCTAGTAAGACCTACCCCAAATGCTTATATTATCAATGTTGGAGATGTGATTCAGGTATGTTGAGCGTCCTTTTCATTTGATACAATCATGATCATCCATTGATAAGAAAACTGATAATTGGGGTACTATTAATCTTCATGATGAATACAAATATGATCTTGACCTTAGTAACATTGATTGAACATATTGTGTGCCACTATTTTTGAAAGGCGATATACCGAGCCAACTGGCATTGCGATTAAGATGCTTTTGTTCATGAGGATAATCTTTGATCTCAAGTGTTGCTCCGGTTGAAACAACTTAGAAATTAGTAAAATGTGGTGTGTATAAATGCATGTGCATGCAACTAGAACGAAAATGTGTCAGGCTGCACGGCAAAAGCCCGGTGCCTTCTCGCAGTCTGCGTGGGCCTGTATTTAAAGAAAAAGCCTATTGGCCTGGATAAAAAAAGGGCAGCACTGGTCACACCTCGAGCCGGTCCAAATCCGGATAAAGGGAGAGAGTCTAGATGGGTTAATGATAAACAAATGCACATTTTCCTGCAGGTTTGGAGCAATGACAAGTATGAGAGTGTGGAACACAGAGTGATTGTGAACTCTGAGAGGGAGAGATTTTCCATCCCATTCTTCTTTAACCCTTCACATGCAGTTATGGTGGAACCTTTGAAGGAGTTGACAAGCAAACAAAACCCTGCAAGATATAAGCCATACAATTGGGGAAAATTTCATACCACCAGGAACATCAGTAACTTCAAGAAGCTCAATGTGGAAAATGTTCAGATCTATCATTTCAGAATATGAAACAGAAGAAATTAATTATTATGTATACAGAATAAATGGTGGAACTAAGGAGGCAAATGTGTAATGGTAATTTATCTTTTGGCCTGTTAATCCATCATACTTTCGTAGATTTATTAACGATCCAGTCATCTAGGATCTCTTACTAGATCTAGCAATGTACTGCCTCGAGTAATAAAAATGCATGTACTCGAATTCTAAATAGATGACTCATTTATTCAGATTTACAGTTTTTAAGTAGCTAGATTACATTTTTCGGTGTTGTCAAACAGCTTTACATCAATCTTTCATGGTCTATGATTTTTACTGTTACATTTGATATCTGATTTTATACTGCTGAACTGCAAAGTATCATTTTAGAGACCCTCATGTATGAGGGTACTCCCAGGTACTTGCCTAGGCCTGCAGTGAGACAAATTTGACATCTAGCACTAATCTTCCGAGTTGTAAGCTTGTAAAAGTTGGGTTGAAACAAACAAAAATTCTACACACAATGCAAACAGGTAAAGGGACAAAAGATCCCTTGTCTCAGGCCCTTGCTAGGTGTGAAACATTCAGTAGCTTCCCATTCCATATAACTGAAGGCCTTGTGGTAGTGATACATTCCATTATCAAAGAAATAATTTGAGGTAGGTGAATTTTCATAGCAATTTAGCTCTTGTTTGAGCCACATTCTCATTTTCATTTTCATTCTTCTACTCATTTTCAACCTCAAATCCTTCCATAAAATAATATTTTTCATCTCATCAATAATTTTTCCTTCCTTTTCAACCACATATTCATTATCACATGATACAAAAAAATACCATTTTAATGTGCATCAAACACACTCTAAATATCCATTTCGAATTGTGATCACATTTCTGTTATAAATATGTACACAATAGAGAAAGTATAATTATTTTCAAACTCTCCTTAGAGTTCATAAACTCGTATATTTTTAATATTTTCCTTATCAGATAAATATGAATTATGACAACATAAAAGAGCTTGAAAACTTTAAAAACAACCACGCAACATGGTCACTTGTACACCTCCTATGAAATGATAATCTAATAAATTTGAATTTTGACAACTTAAAAGAGCTTGAAAACTTTAATAACAACCACGCAACATGGTCACTTGTACAACTCCTTTGAATTGATATTCTAAGTTTATTGAGAAATTAGGCTTAAAGCATGTTTGGCCAAGCCACTTTCAGTCTCCATCCACGTTCGAGAAGTTAGGGTGCGTTTGATTTACTATTTTTAAGCTGTTTTCACTTTTCAATTTTGCAAAATATTGAAAATGTGTTTGGTGAGTTATTTTTAAAAACGCATTTTTGAAAATAATGTTAAATTTATAACATTAAACTCAAAACGCATTTTTGACATTTTGAGTGTTTTCAGTAAAAATTTTGAAAAAAAAAAAAAAAAAAGCATTTAAATAAAAATTTATTTAGATAAATTTTAAAAATTAAAAATATAAAATTCTAACTAATAAATTTTAAATTTTTTAAAGAAAATCAAAATTTGAAATATAAAATCTAAAATTCTAAAAAACTAAGGGTATGTTCTCTTTGTTATTTTCAAGCCATTTTCAGTTTTCAGTTTTTGAAAACACTGAAAACACGTTTACTTACCTATTTTAAAAAACGAGTTTGAAATTTACAAAGAAAATGGAAAACGCCAAAAAAGTCTTTTTGGCTGTTTTCAGTTAAAACCAAACCAAAATTTCATTTTTTTTTTTAAATTTTATGAAAATAATTTTTCAAAATGATAAAAAGAACGCATTTTCAGCAATCTCAAAATAGACACTCAAAACACAAAAATCAAAATGAATTCAAAACTGAAAATTGAAACACGAAGAGAACCACCCTAACATTCTAAAATAATATATTCAAAATTAAAAAAAAAATTATGAAAATATCTAGGGAAAAAAAAAGAAGCTAAAGCTCAAAATGATTATTTACATAAATTTTTTTTTAAAAATATTTAAATAAACATAGATAAAAATATTTTCAACCCACATCATTAATTTTATTTTTCTTTCCTTTATTTGGAAGTCAATTTTAAAAAATTAAAAATCTAAAATCGACCAACTTTAAAACGTATATTACTTGATAATATATTAACATAAAATTATTTCATTCTACTAAATAATCAAAGTTAATGAACTAAAATGTAATAAAATGATTTTTCAAAATATCTAGCCGAATGCTATCTAATTTTTTGTTTTGAGAAATAATTTTTCAAAATGATAAACCAAACACATTTTTAGAATTCTTAAAACAAGCTTTCAAAATAGAAAACTCAAAATAAACTCAAAACTGAAATACAAAACAAACGGATCCTTAATTTTTTTCAGAAGTAATTCAAAAAGAGAACTTATTTATTTTAAAACTACATCAATATTAACAAGTATACTATAAAAAATGCATACCCATACATCACCTGATTATGAACCATTTGGCATGACTTTCAACAGATAAAAAGTTATTTTTGAAACTAAGAAGTTGATTTTTGAACATATTTGGATGATTTTCTGGGAGCGTTTTATTTGCTAGAAGAACTTTTAGAGAAAGCCGACTTAATATAACTTACTCAAGAGGCTCTACAAAAAGCATAAGCAAAATCAAAAGTCATGTAAGATGAGCTTTACCGTCAATCAGAAAGGCAAAGAAACGTATTCTATTGTGGCATTATTTCATGTACTAAGTACTAATATAAGTCAGATAAAATAATTTAATCATTCAGAATATATGAAATATAAGTTCTCAATGTAAACTGTTTACTAGCATTAAAAAAAAAAAAACAGTTTGTATTGTCAAGAACAAAATTTTGAAACTGGAGTATGCTCGCTCAGATAAATATATTCTTGAACCTAATGGATTCATACAATTGAACAAATAGACATGCTGACATGTACAGGCGAGAGCGAGAAGGCAGGCACGATGCATCAAAGACTATTATCAAGTTGCAGCACCAGCGGGCAGCAGGCCTACTCACCTCTAGCAAAGAGTAATTAGCAGACTTTTCCGACGCAATTACCATCCTCTGCCCTGGCAATTCTATGCTTTCTGATCTCCTGATCACGATTATCTTTGTTTACAAGTCTTTATTTTGACAACTGACAATGCAAGTTTCATCGCTTAATTACATCTGAACTGAAGTTCCATTCACAGGTTGCAAACCTTGAGGGCTTGTGGTTGCTAGAATTTAATTGAATTCATCGATCTCCAACTGCTTCTGTACATATATCATCCTTCGCACTAGTGTCATCTGTCCGCGCATCATGAACTACGATATCTCCAGAAGTATTATGCTCAACGTCTACAGCTTTTGCGTTATCCAAGGAAGCAATATCAACAGTCATGTTAGTGCATTCATTCCCTAGATCCACTTTTTTATCCCCTTCAACTACATCGAAGCCTTCAGCTAAATCCATCTGCACTGGAGCAACAGACTTCGATACAGATGGAGTTCTGTCAATTTCGGAATCAGCATTCAGTATGCAACTTGATGAGGCTAGTCCATTGGACGTGCCCGCATTTACATTTCGCAAGTCTATAGCTCCATTTTCTTTAATGTCACCCGATGCTTCAGTTATATCAAGCGGAAAATGAACTGGTCTTGATGCCGATGGAGAAGAATTGTTCATTTTGGGTTCAGCATTCCGTGTATCAGAATTGATTGGCAGAGCTGTGCCACCTTTTGATTCATCAAGCTGACAGATATTGGCACATCTATCTAGGAACTTGGTTGTTGATAAAGAGTCATCAATAGACAGTGGCTCTAACTCCATCACACTTGCATAATTATTTTTGTCCAAGGTATCATCTTCAGAACCATCTGGATTATTGAATGCAGCAGCACCTCTAGAAGTAAGGTTCTGCTCTATATCTAGGCCAGCATCCCCCAGAATATATCCATTCTGACTGAAGAGAGCAGTCGATTCATCCCGATCAATAATTAATTGAGGAGCTGAAGTACAATTGGATGATGAATGAACTTCCATCCCAGCATCGACATTTTCGCTGGTCGCATGATACAACAGATCACTGCCCATATCATTAGAGAGTGGACGCTTGCGCTTCAGTGCAGAGCCATTCTCATTGTGAGATGATACAATCCCATTAGGATAGAGGTCCTTGTGTACTAGTTCTCTATCTTGGTTGTCCATGATTGGTTTAGAGATCTGTTGCTTGATAGGATTTACTTTGAACTGACAGCTTTCAGGACCAATTAGTTCATTCAACTGCATCTTTAACCAAACTGCTAGAGAAACAGAATGATCACGAATCAAAGAATCAAAAGGTGGGCAGCGTAGCATATTAATCAAAGCTTGGTTATACTGAAACATGCTGATAGATGGTGTAATAGTCCCTTTATCACGGCAAAATTTAATGATTTTGAAAACGTGCTCGCATAAGTTCCCCATTTTTGCCCAACTACAATCACAAAATGCATATTCCGAACCAGGATTCCATACTATATGAGTTGTATCTTGATCTTCCCAGTCAATAATCTTGGCATATTTACGTTCCATGACAACATTAGGATCTGGGATCTTCAATGATTTACGCCAAGCTGTTAAGCCACTCATCCATTCATCCTTCCAATATCGTGCAAAATCATCCTTACCTGAGTACTCATCAAGCCAGAAGTACGAGTGCACTTTGGTACCCAGCTTATTAACCAGCCAATCAGCACGTTGGTATACGCTTTGGTCCTTTTCATTCAACAACCTAAGCTTCAATTGGTTGTGATAAAACTCCATTGCTGCACAGGTCTCTAGGCTGGCAAGAGGAAGAGTTTTAAGTGCACTTTCCCACATACCTGATCATTAGAGTCCTGTTAGGAAAAAAAATAGAAATGTACTTGAAAGAGAAGAGAGAGATTTAGCTCTCATTGTGTAAATTAAATCCTTTATTACATCGAATTAAGTTAATTTTTCCAACAATGATAACTGTGTGCTTAATATTCGAAGGATGTGGTTTGCCACCAAGCGTTACTTCACCAGTTTCCGCAAAAGGCAAAAGCTACAGGCGATGTACCTAATGCATCTCAAGTATGACGATGCACATGCTGTAATTCTCATTTTAGTGAGTATATCTTACTTAGTCTTGGATACCAATTTGCCTTGAAGTAGTCCATGAAATCAGTTGCATCTGCAAAATCTTCAATAACATCTTTAAACATATTGGCACTGCCAGATCCTTTGCAAATTTTGTTTACTGATGGACCGAGCCTCTTCGCTATTTCAGCACGCACCTCCATTTTTGAGCATCTCTTCAACAAGTTTTTATGCCACGCATGACGAACCCGCCAAAAGCATATCAATACAGAGCATTCAAAGACTTCCCTGAATAACATGCAAAAAAGAAGAGACTCTAGGATTCATTCAAGTGATATTCAACCAAACATTTTTTGCCCTAAGAAACCAAACAAGGTAAGGAGAACATAACAATGCCAAAGTTCCTTAACTTTAACTGGATAACAAAATTCCAACAAGTTGTCAGCAAAAGAGATTGAGCTAGTTGTTGATCACTTTTCAGATCTAAAAAGTACTAATTTCTAATATAGAATTGTTGTCACATAACAAATGCAACATTTCTACGTAAAAATTAGATATTTAATCATGTTTTCAAGTTCGAGTCATCCAGACTCATAATGGTTTTAATTTTTCTACATACGGAACCCCATATGCAGCAACATGGTGACCAATTTCACTAATAAAATTCCCAACCCACAAAAAGAAAAAGAATTGAGAAAGAATAATATACAAAAAGAGAAAGATAAAGGCTAACAAGAACAAAGACGATCACGGTGCAAACTTTAACTCTATTACAAGCTAAAATAAATATAAGACTCGTCCAAAACAAATAAACACTGTAAACCATCCACATCAACTGACTTCAGATGAAGACCCTAGGAGCAAACCTGATTGCCAGGACATCAGCCAAAGGGTCATCCACAATAAACCCAGCCAACTTCCATGAAGGATCTTTTGCACAAACTCTATTGAGAAGTGCCCTCATCCATCTATGTGTTTCTCCTCTAGCAAATCTAGGAGATATTATCCAAGCTACAGGAATAGCCTTGTTGTCTGAGTTGAACACAACAAGACTGTGAATAGGATACTGGATATAATTGCAACAGAATAGTGAAGTAAGATTTAAGAAATTAAGTGCTTTATGTACTTGATGAGTGAAAAACAAATTTAAGAAAAATGGAGCAAACCTTCAGCTTATTTGACCCAAACTTTGAATCTGATGCCAAGAGTCTTTGATTTCCAAACCGGATC